TCTCATGTCGGAGGCGGCTCACTCCCAACATGATGAGGACCACTCTAATGGTGCTCCAGAGAGCCACTCCTCTAAGTACACGGAACCCTATTTACTTGGAGCCGACGAATTGGCACAGAACGGAGAGGAACGTTGTGAGAAAGGCACGGAGGTGACGGTGGTGCCGACGACCCCATAGCAAGAAACGTAGTGGGGGACTTGCCCCTCCCTGGGTGTGACCCGAGCTTTTGGCCAAGGTCATCTTCAGGAAGGACATTGCTTGATTATGAGTGTCAGGCTGCAAGTGCGGATACGGCATCACGAAACGTTTGAGCTCCAACTCCTCATCTTCGGGCGCATCGTCATCATCAAAGAGTGGCTCCTCATCCACGGGGCGTCTGAGTCTGGAGTGGAGCTGCCGTCCTCGAACTCCGCCGCCCGTCCCTACATCTCGCGGAAACTGAGCCTCGCAAGGTTCCATTCGTAGGTCTGCTGCTCTCGGCTGGTGGCCTCGGGCTGGAACTTCCTCCATGCCTCCTCCAAGCTGCAGAGTACGGGACCCATCAGGTTGTAGAACGTCGTCGATATTTGCACGATCTGAGAGAGCCACCGTTCAGGTCTGTTGGGTACCTAGAGTCCGATAAGCCTCGCCAAAACAGGTGATTGAAGCACTGAGGACACTGTAAATGGCATGGATGGTCAGCTGCGAGGGCGGTCTGGAAGCATTTTACACTCAGCTCGTGCATGAATGCTATGTATATGGATGCACGTGCACTGTGAGAGCGCGTAAACCTCGAAGTTCTCGTCGCCGTCTATATCGAAGGCCAGCACAACTCGAGTTTTGAGAGAGTCCTCCGAATGCGTATTTTTCCCATCTAACGAGAGGAGCTGCCACTCCGTCCCCGCAGTGCGAGGAGGAGTCAACATCGAGGCCTGGGAGCACTCCGTGGGGCCTGATCTTCCCCAAAACGGCTTCAGCCGAAAAAGCATCGGGTGCGTGAGAGATAGAAGGAAAGCAAGGCAAGGATGGATAGGATGATATCGGGTGGGATGGTAAAGAAAGAGAGAGAGAGAGAGAGAAAAAAAAAGATAGAGGAAATGAGAGAGAGAGAGAGCGAGAAAGAGAACGTGCAAACAGGAGGTGCTGAAAATTCGATCCCCACAAGGTAAGAGCAGCGGCTGGCGTCCTCTCCCGACCCCGCCGTCAGGAGACCAGACTCTTGCGACCGCGGCAACGTCCACCCCACCGACCAGTTCTGGTACTGCCACCCCTGCTGGAGGGGTGGCGTTGCGGGTCCGCGGGAGCCGTGGGCGACGGCTCCACGGGAGCCGTGGGCAGCCTATGCCCGTGGTCTGCTGGCTGCCCTGGGGGCGGAGGATCGATGATCGAGGCCCAGACATCCAGCGGATTGTTTTTGTTTTGAATTCTTTACGCTTCGCGTATCCCCACCAGCCCATCTCACAACAGCAACTCATGCGAAGCATGCCGACAGTCGTGTTTTTCAGGCGTGTGTCCGCTTGGCCCCGCATATCTCCCCTGTTCCTCCTTCCTCCCGCCTCCTTGTACATCTTCCTTGTGGGGGGAGCGGGAGAAGGACGAGGCGGAGGAGGAGGGAGAGAAAGCGCTCCTCGTGATTTGAGTCGTTTGGGGTTTCTCGTCCTGGTGTGAGTCGTTCGGGCCCTTCTTCCTGGTGTGAGTCGTTCGGGCTCTTCGTGGTGTGAGTCGTTCGGGCTCTTCGTCCTGGTGTGAGTCGTTCGGGCTTCTCGTGGTGTGAGTTGTTCGGGCCCCTATCCTGGTGTGAGTCGTTCGGGCCCCTCCTCCTGGTGTGACTCGTTCGGGCTCCTCGTGGTGTGAGTCGTTCGGGGCCCGCGTCGTGGTGTGAGTCGTTCGGGCTCCTCGTGGTGTGAGTCGTTCGGGCGCCTCGTCCTGGTGTGAGTCGTTCGGGCCCCTCCTTGTGGTGTGAGTCGTTCGGGCTCTTCGTGGTGTGAGTCGTTCGGGCCCCTCGTCCTGGTGTGAGTCGTTCGGGCTCCTCGTGGGGCCTCTTGGGGGCCTCTTGGAGCCTCTTGGGGCCTCTTGGGGGCCTCTTGGGGGCCTCTTGGGGGCCTCTTGGGGGCCTCTTGGGGCCTCTTGGGGGCCTCTTGGGGGCCTCTTGGGGGCCTCTTGGGGGCCTCTTGGGGCCTCTTGGGGGCCTCTTGGGGGCCTCTTGGAGGCCTCTTGGGAGGCTCCTGGGGGCCTCTTGGGGCCATCTTGGAGCCTCTTGCGACCTCCTCAGAAGCGCAAAGAAGCGCTGCTCCCTGAGAAGGACAAAATGAGCCCCAAACCCTCGTAAAATCAATGATTTTGCTATGAAGGAAGATGAGCGCGGCCCCCTCGGGAGGCCAAAATGGGGCCAAAACCCTCGTAAAAGCAATGATTTTGGCTTCACAGAAGAGGAGGGGGCTACAAGAGTGCCCCCCCGTCGGGGCCAGAATCCTCGTGAGGGTCGTCGTTTTTTTGCCCTCCCAGGCGTCGAAAAAGACCCCCCTGACCACCCGCGGAACTCCCTCTCCAGGCCCAGGGGGAGGGGGTATGGGGGAGGGGTAAACCCCTCCCCGAAGGGGAAGAAGGGGGGTTGAGGACAGAGGGGGCTCTCTAAACCACTCACGCCCTAAAGGGCTGGTGGGATTCTGGTGTTTTGCTCATTTTGGTTTGCGGGGGCTGATTTCGGACCCGAAGGCCATCGAACTTTGATCTGGGGCGAAGAAGTATTCCGGTGGAAGGTGTCGGGACCTTAGGGCCCACGGATAGACAAGAAACGCATCGTCGATCTTTATGTGGATTTGGTTGTCATTTTTGGGCCTCAGGAATCGGGGATGGCTCTGGTGGCCTCCCGGGACCCCAGGAGGTCGCCGGACCCCAGGAGGTCGCCGGAGCTTCTGAGGACCGCGAGCCAGGCACTCAGAATTCCTGCAGGAGGAGAAGGAGGAGGAGGAGGACGACGAGGACGAGGACGAGGAGGAGGAGGAAGAGGAGGAGGATGAGAAGGAGGAGGATGAGGAGGAGCATCGATGTTTGAGGATCGGGTGGTCTGGACCTTGTGTTGCCTATCTGGGTCTCCTCGGGCGCCCTCGTTGCCGCGGCTCGATCTGCCTCGAGTTCTTGAGGCTCGAAATTATATCAGCATGACATGTACACATACATGTACCATTTGTACACATATACACCCACACATTTGCATACATACACACATACATATACACACGCACACACACACACCTGTGTATATATATATATATATATAAAAATATATATGTATACACACCTACATTATATACATACGTGTGTGCGGTGCTATCTGTATATATATATATAAATGTATGCCTCTTTCGTTATACACATCTATATACCCATACATGTGCACATCTCTCTCTATGTATATATATGTACGTCCGTCTACGAGGCCTGGGGACCGGGTCCCCGGTCCCCGACAGCGCATGGGGGACGTGGGCCCCAGAGGTAATTCAGGCGCGCGCAGAGAGCCCCGACCCCCACCGAGTCGCAAGACAATCATTCTCGCCTCCAGATGACCAACTACGCTCCCAAGGCGTTCCACGCAGGCGTCCCGACGGCAGACGCTCCAAGAGGGTTCCACCGCAGACGCTCCAAGAGCGTTCCAAGACGCCCCCAAGAGGGCCTCAAGAGGCAAAGTCATTAGTTTCGCGTGGGTCTTTATGTTTTTTTTGGGTTCCGCCTTCTCAGCTTGCCAACACTCTACAACAGCCCCAGAAACACCAAAGCTCGCCCCAAGACGGGTCCCCACAGGGCGCACCTCGGGGCGCCCACATGCCCAAGAAACCACAAAGACGGCGCTCATCACGCCCTTGAGGTGGCTTCCAACGGCGCTCCACGATAGCTTCCTGACAGCCCACGACGCCCCCAGAACGCTACAGGAGGGTTTCAAGGCGCTCCCTAGGAGGGCCCCAGCAGCAAACCATCGCTGGCTTTTCGTGTTCGTGCGTCCGCCTTTTCGCCTTGCCGACGCTACAGGACAGCCCAAGAAGGACAACTCACCCAACGACCGAATCAGAGGCTCCCAAGAGGGCGCCCAGACTGCCCACGGCGCACCAAAGGCGGCCCACGATACTTCCAAGACAGCCGACGAAGGTCCCGAATCGCCGGAAAACCATTCCCAAAAGTTCATGCGGGCCCCCACGTGGCCCACACCGCGCCCCAGGCGCTCCTCGGAGGCTTCCGGATGACCTACAGCGCCCCCAGAGCGTTTCCAGACGGTTCCAGGGTCCGAAGACGCGAACCTCGATGGTTTCTCATAGTTTTGTGTCCCAGATCCAGGATGTGGTTGGTGTTTTCTCTGCACACCCACCGCGCAGGATCTCCGCCTCCCCCCTCTCTTCCGCATGCACACAGGCACACACTCCTGCACACAAGCTCACACACTCATCATCATCACCGTACGCATCATGACCGTCATGACCACATCACCATCATAACCGTCATCATCGTCAGCGTCGTCATTATCATCCTCATCAACATCACCATCATCATCATAATCATCATCGTCGTCGATCATCATCAACATCCACACCTACTCACTCACATTATCCCATCACTCACTCACGCATCCCCAGGCCATGATCATGACCAATGTCCTCATCATTATCGCCAACATCGGCATCATTAAATATCATCACCGTTAGCACCGCTACACCATTGCTAACCCCGACCTCCCGATAATCAATGTGCCCCCCTGCACCAATGACTGTTGATCATCCCCGGCCAATGCAGTTTTGGTCAAGGAAGAGAGGCGGCAAGGCCGAAATTTCTAATCGCTGGGGAAAGTTGCGAATCGAAGTTGTTCTCCTCTAATGTTGAGTAGCAAAAATTCCCAAGACTTCCGATTGATGTCCTCGGTAATCCTACGGATGTCCTGGGGAATCCTATGGGTTCCCTGTGGCTCCCTATGGTTTTCCTATGGATGTCCCAGAACACCTGGAGGATATCTGATGGATTCCAGTGGATTCCGATGGATCGACGAGTTCGTCCTGCGCAGGCTGCGCGCCACTGGCCGCAAGGGCCAGCGCATCTCCGAACAGAAAATCCCGACGCTCTGCAAGCACAACGCCAAGCTCGCTTGGGCGACGGCCGACAGGTTCAAGGAGGAGGAGGAGGAGGAGGAGGAGGAGGAGGAGGGAGAGGAGGAGGAGGAAGAGGAAGAGGAGGAGGCGGAGGAATCCGATGGAATCCGGTGACATCCCAAAATAATCCCATGGATTTGCCGAGGAACCCGATTGATTCCATAAGCAATCCCATGCCTGTCTCAAGATTTCCAAATGATTATCAACATAAAATTTTAGATGTCCGAATGAATCCAATGCATGTCCGAATGAACGCTATGGATTTTCACATGGAATCCAATACATTTCCGAAGGCCTCCTATAGATTTCCGGAGGGAACCTTTTGGTGTCCGAAGGGGTCCTATAGATCTCCCATGTGTTCCCGGCAAAAATCATCGATATCCAAAGGAGCCTAATGCATTGCCAAAGGAATCGTATGGATTTCTCCAGGAATCCAATGGGTTGTTGAAGGATTCCTATAGATTTCGTTAGGCACCCTATACGTTTCTAATCGAATCGTATGGCGGTCCTGAACAATCATGCGGATTTCGGGCGGAAGTGCGTGGATTTCGTGAGGACTCCTGTTGATGTGTTTAGGAGTCCTATAGGATTCCTGCAGAAAAAACGATGGGTCGCGTGAGGCAACTCATGAATGTCGTATGGGATCCAATGTCTGTTTGTTTGTTTGTTGTTTTTTGTTGGGGGCTCCCCTCGGGCAACATATGCATTTCCAAAGGAGCCCTATGGATTTCCTCAGGCATATGAGGGCTGGGGTCCCTACGGAATCCGATGGTCTCCCTAACACGTTTATTTTGTTTCCTCTGGAATCCGATGGCTTCCTGAAGGAATCTCATGGATTCCCGAAGGGATCATGTGGTTTCCCTCAGGAGTCCAATGGATTGCCTCAGGATCCCCATGGATTCCCAAAGAGGAATTCTAAGGGTCTCCCATGGAGTTGGAGTTCCAAGGCATCCGACGGGCGTCGTGAGGGGCCCTGTGAATTACGAGAGACACATTGTAAGGAATGTTCTTTGGAATCCGATAAGTATTATTTAATGATGACCAACTAATGAGTTGCCTGTGGGATCCCGTGGATTTCCTAAGTCATCCTCTTCCCCTTCTCCTTGCGCGCCCAGCCCGGACTTTTTGGTCCCTGCTTTTTTTCCGTAAAAAATCCCCACCAATGAGCCGCCGTTACCGCCTGCGCGTGCGCCATTGGGAATCGTTACAAGAATTTTGTATTACATTTTTCATGGGAAACAAGAAAACTGCAACAACCATGGCCCGAATCGAAGTTCGCTCGGGGAACTTGCCCGGGGGGGGGAAGGGGGGAGGAGGTGGGGGAGGGGGGGGAGACGAGGAAGAGGAGGTCGAGGAATCCGAAGGAATCCTACGGATGTCTTCCAGAACCCATTGGATGCCCGGAGCAAACCTATGGATTCCCAAAGGAATCCTATGGATGGCCGAAGGTTTTTCTATTGATTGCCTTAGGGATTCCTAGGGCATTTATTTAGGTTCCTCACATGGATCCCTATAGATGCCGTTCGGAACGCGATGGATTTCCGAAGCGAAGCGCGTCGCCGGGGCCGCGCGTTGCCAAGCGCGTCGCCGAGGCTGCGCGCTGTCGAGGGAATCCTATGGGCATCCCGAGGCATCCCGTGGATTCCCGCGGCAGTCAATAGGATTTCCCCCCAGAATCCCATTGATTGCCGCAGCCAAAGGTTCCCGCGGTGGCGAGGGGCAGCGCCGGGGATTTCGGCTTCTTCGTCGCGAACCCCGAGACCATCGCCGAGCAGAGAGCCAATGCGAGCGCGGTCTGCGTCGGCGCCGCCGAGCTCTGGCTCGGGCTCCGCGGCGAGGAGCAAACGTTCATCCGCGAGAGCGTGATCCACGCCGCAGGCGCCGAGAAACGCATCGAGAGGCTGCGCGAGAAGTTCCGCGAAACGCGGGGCCAGGAGGTCAAGGTGGCTCTCGAGCTCGAGACGGCCAAGTGGTTGGCAGAGCACTCCGACGAGAAGCAGCAAGCGGGCTCGGCCTACGCGAGCGCAGGGGGCAAGTCCAGGAGCACCCTCATCAACATCTCCGCCGCCGAGGGCTGGTTGGACCCGAGCAGGGGAGCGCGCCCCTCGCCCCTGCGCCAAGCGCTGCCGAGTGAGCGAAGCGAGCCTCGGGGCGGGCATTTGGCGGCGCGACGCCACCTACGAGCGGGGGGATGATGATACTGGCCGTCCTTTCTCTGATAAGGATAGCGATGGCGATGGCGATGGCGCTGCTGATGGCGATGATGTGGCTGCTGATGATGATGCTGGAAGGGCCCCAAGACCCTTGCCCCCCCTGACGTTCTCTCGGCCTCGCTAACCACTTGTCTAAGATCATATGAAGTACCCTCTTTATGTTTTTAGCAGTTCAAGCTGCTCGCTTGGCTATGTACTTCGCCAGTGCTTCTAACGTTCCAATGTAAGTGCTTAGCATAGTTCTTCGATGTACGCAACTATGCACCTATAAGTACGTTCTAAACGCGTAGCAAAGTTAGCGCTATACTTCGCTAAGCATTTAGTATGTACTCAGTGTGTACTTCTAAGTGCCGCGCTAAGTAATTTGCTGAGCGACTTGCTACGTGCATGGCAAGCACTTAGCTAAGCACTTATCAAATCACTTACAAGTCGTCTAAGCATTTGCTAAGTCAGCTCAGGATTGGCAAGCGCGCGGCCCACCCAAGTGCGAGCTGGACTGCATGGCGATCGTCGATCCGGACCCGCTCGAAGGAGGCATGCCCGACGAACGGGCGACTGCGCAGACGCATCCGAGGAGGGTCAACGAGCAACAAAAACAGGGTCGCAGGGTCTGCGGCCGCGCGCCGTGCGCCCGAGGAGAAACAGCGGGGGCTGCGAGAGGCTAGAAGACGATTGCGCAGCGAACGTCAGGAGGCCCGCATCGCTGAAGTCTCCACAGATTGGGCCAGGTTGGGCGAGGTCCCGCGCGAATGCAGCCGCCAGAAAATTAATGGCGCGTCTCGACTGGGTTCCCGCGTCGGGGGGCAGAGCTCGAGTCGACGTCTCTGTAGCATCGGCGCGAACGAACTGGGCGCGGAAAGACTGGGTGCAATGCCCAGTAGCAGTTCTTTCTCATTTTGAGCAGGACTGGCTGTCCGCGCCGCCGCGGCCTGTGCTTATTTGAGACAGGTGGCCTGCCCGACAGCGGCCGCTGCTGGTTTGGGATTGCATTTGTCGCCGGGCATTGCGCGCATTTTTTCCCGCGCCCATTTCGGGCGTTTAAATGCGACCCGCGCCGCGCCAACCCAGCGAGGGCCAGCTCGCGGCTCGCCGCGAGAAAGCTGGCATCGAATTGGCGGTGCCGGCGCGGGCTAGCGCGACAGCCGAAGCGCGCAGGGCGCGCCGCGCGCGCGCGAGGACTTCGCGGCGCGCGGACGCGTCACCCACGCAATTGGGTGGCAGAAGGGGCCTTCCAGGCAAGAGGAAAAGGCGCCCAGCGGCGGCGCCGCTGGCGCCTTGCGGGGAACCAGGGTTCCGAAGGAAGGGGTCCGGGCCAGAAGTGTTAGCTGCTAGCGGGCTATCCGCAGACAGGGTACGCTGCGCGGGCGCAGCTCAAGGGGTTGCCCAAGCCGAGCGGGGCGTGCGCCCAGTTGCCGCGTTGGCGAGAATCTGCCCTTCAAGTGCGCCACGGGCTTTCCACCGCAGCAGCCGAGGTCAAGCAGTGGCGAAGCGTCCTAGCGTGCCTATAGGCCTACCAAAGAATGTTCCAAGAACCTTTCGTGGTTACCACGAAATGTTATAAGAACATGTTTGGCTGGGGCTGTCTTGTTTTAGCGCACCGGGTTTATGTTCTGAGAAGTTTTTCCCCACATCCAAAATTGGGTTTTGTTTTCTTTGGACGCCCCTCGCAGGAAGTCTTACCCCTCACCCCCTCCCGACCCTCTTCATCACCCAGCACCTCTTCAACCACACTCTCACTCATCATGACATTCCGCTTCCTCCTCCTCATCATCATAATCGTCCTCATCATAATCATTCATTCGCTCACTCATTCATTCACTCACACACCCGCACTTGAGGAAATATCAGGCGGGAACATCGTTTGCGAGTGAATTGCGAGGAAGTTTCAGGCTGGAACAGTACACCCATGGGGTCGCAAGCGACGTTGCTAATCCGAGGGCGTCGTCCAAATCTTGTAGCTGTCGTCACCCTTGGGCTCCTGAGTCCTGAATCTGGGGGAAGTATCCGGCGGGAGCCTCGTTCGTGAGTGAATTGCGAGGAAGTGTCAGGCGGGACCCCCCTCCCTATGGGGTTTGCAGATCACGTTGATAATCCGAGCGGGTCCTCCAGACTTCGTACCTGTCGTTATTTTTGTTGTTCCTGAGTTCTGAATCGGGGGGAAGTATCAGGCGGGAGCCTCGTCTGCCCCTTCCCTACGGGGCCCGCGTTTCATGTTGGTAATCCGAGCGGGTCAACCTCGAACCTGTAAGTGTCGTAATTTTTGGATTCCTGAGGCGTGAATCTGGGGGAAGTATGAGGCGGGAGCCTCGTCTGTTTGCGAATTGCGAGAAAATCTCAGGCGGGAGCCCCCTCCCTATGGGGTTCGCAGATCATGCTACTAATCCGAAGGGCTCCTCCAAATCCTGTAATGTTCACTAAATTGGCTCCTGAGTCCTGAATCTGGGGGAACTATCAGGCGGGAGCCTCGACTGCGAGTGAACTGCGAGGAGATCTCAGGCGGGAGCCCCTTCCTTATGGGGCCCGCAGATCATGTTATTAATCCGAGCGGGTCATTCTCGAACATGTAACTGTCGTCACTTTTGGGCTCCTGAGGCCTGAATCTGGGTGAACATCAGGCGGGAACCTCGAATGTGAGTGAACTGTGAGGAAGGCTGAGGCGGGAGCCCTTCCCCTTGGGGCCCGCAGATCATGTTACTAATCCGAGCGGGTCATCCTCGAACCTGTAACTGTTGTCAGTTTTGGGCTCTTGAGTCCTGAATCCGGGGGAGGTATCAGGCGGGAGCCTCGACTGTGAGTGACCTGTGAGGAAGGCTTAGGCGGGAGCCCCCTTCCCTTCGAGACCGCACTTCATGTTGGTAATCCGAACGGGTCATCCTTGGACCTGTAACTGTCGCCACTGAGACCGGCATACGGGAGAAGTATGAGGCGGGAACCTCGACTGAGTGAATTGTGAGGAAGGCTGAGGCGGGAGCCCTCCCTATGGGGGCCCGCAGATCATGTTACTAATCCGAGCGGGTCATCCTCGAACCTGTAACTGTCGTCATGTTTGGGCTCCTGAGGCCTGAATTTGGGGGAAGCATCAGGCGGGAGCCTCGTCTGTGAGTGCACTGTGAGGAAGTCTCAGGCGGGAGCCCCCTTCCTATGGGGCCCGCAGTTCATGATGGTAATCCGAGCGGGTCATCCTCGAACCTGTAAGTGTCGTCACTCTTGGGCTCCTGAGGCGAGAATATGGGGGAAGTATGAGGCTGGAACCTCGACTGTGAGTGAATTGTGAGGGAAGCTCAGGCGGGAGCCCCTGTCCTTATGGGGCCTGCACCTCTCGTGTTTCCTCCCGGTCGTCCTCCGGCGCGCGCTTCCTTTGGGTCGTCTTTCAGCGCGTATCCGCTTGGACGCACGTCGTGCGTTTCTTCTGGGTCGCGTTCCGCACCAGGAGGAAGGATGAGGAAGGAGGAAGAGGAGGAAGGAGGATGCAGGACGAGAGAGAGAAGAAGGAGGAGGAGGAGGAGGAGGAGGAAGCAGAGGGCGATAAGGACGAGGAGAACATGGAGGAAGAGGAGCGCCCTAAGAGGCTCCCGGGAGGCCTGGAAGGCTCCAGGAGGCCCCAAGATGTCCCAAGAGTCCCCAGGAGGAGGCAGGAAGCCTAAGGAGGAGGCAGGAGGAGGGAGAGGCGGAGGAGGACGGGGGGGAAGATGGAAACGAGGAGGAGGCGGAGGAGGGAGAGGGACAAGAGGAAGATGGAGAGGGGAGGCGGAGAAGGAGGAGGAGGAGGAGGAGGGAAAAGGAAAGCAGCAGGAGAAGGAGGACGCACGAGGCAGGAGCAACATGGGGAATGGGGGGAGGAGGCATAACGAGGAGGAGGAACACGAGGAGGAGGAGGAGGAAGCAAGAGGAGGATGAGGCAGGGGTTGTGGCAGGAGGAGGAGGAGGAGAAGGCATGAGGAAAAGGAGGAGGCAAGGAGTAGGTGGGAACAACGAGGGGGCAGGAGGATATCTTCAGGCAAGCAAGACACATTCTCTTGTGGTGTCCCACCGTCGGAGTAATGTTTGTTCATCGAACATGGTTTTGTTCTGAGAACATTTCGTGGTATGTCGATAGAAATGCCTGGACGGTCGGTCCCTGCTCAACGAGGGGGCCGCGTGCAGGAGTTCCACTGTGCTGGCCTAGACCACGATTGCCCTGTCTGGCCCTGTCGCCAAAAAGACGAGCCAGAAGGTGCTGGCGTCTTGTTCACAGTCACGCATTCAGCAGATCTTCCAGTGCGCTCTTCTGGGCTCATGCTGCGCGACGCACAGCGCGGTGGCGCAGGGCGCCTATGTCCCGCCGATTCTCGGGTGCCAGTTCTGCAAGGCGAAGACGACGCCACGCATTGATATGCATGCTTCTCACCCGCGGGCTTATAGGTGCTCGGCGGCCGCCTACATGCACAACGCCCGCGTCGAAACCATTGAGAATGACGCGAAACCCTTTTGACAAGTGGTGCGGGGATCAGATGGTGGAGCAGGTGCTAGACAGCTCGAACGATCCAGATTTGCCAGAGGAAGTAAGTGGACGCTGACAATTAGCATAATGATGATTTCGTGGAGTTCCTGGAGTGTTTTGAGGCTGGGTTGAACGGCGAGAAGGCAGGGGAGCCTCGCGGCGGTGCCGCGAGCCCCTCGCAAGGGGCCCCCGACGGTCCGAATCCCAACTGGGGTGGTTGCCCGCCTGTCGAGGTGCCCGAGGAGCCGCCTGTGGCGGTGCCCGAGGAGCCGCCTGCGGCGGTGCCCGAGGAGTCGGCGGTGCCCGCGGACCCGCCCGTCGAGGCACCTAAGCCCGCAGAAAAAACACGAGGTCCGCGCCGTCGGCGCCCAGATTCGCATTTCACCGCAAGTGACTGCGCCTGGCTCGGAGGAGGCATCCTGTCCCGACGAGGGCGGCGAGTCAGATGGAGGCGGCGATTCAGAATTCCAGGAGGAGCCAGAAGAGGAGGCAGCCGGGAATC